AATTACAATTGTATTCTTTGTATGTGCTTATCCTTTTGGAACGTTCATCTTAAAGGTATTACAAAGTTTTGGGAAATTTTAAAAATTGGGTGGATTATGATTTTTTTTCCATTTTAACATATTTGGATGCCCATGTGGATGTATTATAAGCACTAGAAAATTTAGCCCCTAAAACACTTTTGCTTTCGAGTAAAATTGAATATAAAAATGTACCGGTGCTCCCGGTAAATTTTGATCAATTTCAAATAGCGCCTACGGCCATACAATGGTAGCTGTGACCATGAAAATCTCAGAATATGTAGTTGTGATATATAATTTCCAAACAGGAATAGCTATTCGGTCGACTTCAATCAAGAAACATTGTTTTGTAGCTTAACTAATATCTTGACCTTGAGAGGTCAGCATAAAGAGTTTAGTATTAACAATTTCATAACTTTAGATTCGATTTCAACTGCGACAATGATCAATGAATATTGTAGCATCGCATAATGCTTCCAATATGTTCATTTGAACCAAATTTAATGACCTCATACCAAAATTTTGTATTACCTTTAATGTTCATTTGTCATGTTTCGGTTGCCAGTCGAAGTATAAACAAAGGAGGAGGAAGAAGAAGAAGAAAACAGGTTCTAAAAAAAGAAGAATAAGGAGGAGTAGGCGATTTGTAAACCTGCTGTGAATATGCAAGGATACAGGAGACTCGATTTGTTGAGTAGACGTATTTTGTTCCCTTTTTAATGTTGCATTTCAATGTTGCTTCTATTAGCTTCAACTCTGCCCTCCATTGCATTCAAGAGTTACTCTGCCATTCTCAAATGAATCTAAATGTTTAAGTAATGAGTCTTGAAGGAGGTATTAATCTCATTCCCACCTCCTCTCTCCCTCTTTATATTCTTCTTTAAATTATTTTGTTTCTTTCATCCCAATCAGATATTGATACACCTGAGAAGGAAGCTAAGAAGGCATGTCAGAGCGAGTGTTTACGGGTTAAGACAATGTGTCTCACACGAGTTGCAAAACAGGCATCAGATGAAATATTACGGTATGCATATAAGCCAATAGAGTCATGACCCGTGTATGTTCATATGAATCTAATACTCCAAATACAATGCAACATGCCCTATCGAATATGATTATATAACTCGTATTTGACACTGCTCTCATTCGCATTTGCTGCAATAATTAAACATAATTAGGCATTGAATGTGAAACGGAGCTTCGAAGTAACGAAGCAGTTTATCTCCGAGTCGCGATTCAATTAGGATATGCCTTGAAAGGGGAGAATAAGGAGTGGGGTTAGTGTCTTTTCTTGTATTACTAGACCTGCAAACACCCTGCTAGCGCCGAGCGAAGCCCGTAAGTGCCTCCTTGCTAGGGCTTGTGTTGTTAAAACTTGTAAACGTGGATTAAACGCGCATCGCCACTTCTCTTAGGGCGTGTTTGTTTCTAAATACACCTCAACAAAATGTCTTGCTCAGTCCGTCTTTCAATAATTTCACAAGTGTGTTAAATATCCGAAGGGCGGGATTGTGGAGACGAAAATTGGTCAATTTAAGGTTTACATTTCAATAGCGGTTTGAAGTACATTTTCTGTTGGTAAGAAACCTATTGAGGAGTTGAGCAGTTGTAAATCGTAAGTTGTTCGACCCACATAATACTTCACTGCTCCAAGATCGGTTTGGGAAAAAAAGAAACGTAATTCTTTCTCTTGACAGTTTAAAGAGTGTAGTTATTCATTCACTTAATTCACTTGAAGTGTATATTTAATGAAATATACATTTGTAATATTTACCGCAGTAATGACATTCTCTATTATACATTTTTTGTTAACATAAAAATTAATTGGGGCGATTATGACAGCAAGTACTGTGTGACAATCGCATTCTAAAAGTTTGGTTCAAATTAGCTAATTCTAGCTTTTATCCATCAATTAAACTTTATCTCATCCATTGTTATTCCACGGGCTCAATTATTCACCTCTGACATTCATCATCGCTTTTTATCATAATCTTGAATATTTCCATCTTCCATACCATCACAATCATTTATACTATTGCAAATTAACATCATTAACTTCATCTCATCATTTATCATCATAATTACCGCCACCACCATCAACATCATCATCATCATCATACCATCAAAAATTCATAGTAACAATCATAAACATCAATGAGCCGTGATAATAATGTTTATCTATTTGCAAATCAGACGCAATCACCAGTTTCTATATATGAAATTAATCAAGTTATTTCACAACAATTGTCATTCGATGAATCTGTTTGTTTTTAATGTTTCATATCGGTTTTATACAATGTTTTCTTTTTTGATTGTCGCTCAATAACACACATATAATTTACAATATCTATTACAAATACTTATCACCATGAAGAAAAATGAACTGTTTTGGAAATAACCACTGAATAAACTCTCACATAGTCTCATGAAGGGAATCGTTAACTAACCATTCCGAAATAATAACAAACTATATATTGAGAAGAGTGATCCTAAAACCAGTATTTAACTGCAAATCAAGACAAAAATAGAAACCAACTATCCTGGAAACGAAAAAAGAAAGAAAGAAAGAAATAATGAAAGAAAGAAGGAAAAAACAAGGGAGCCCACGCACCCTAAGTGTACATATTGTTTCTAGAACTTTTCTAAATTCGATGTACCGAAGTTTAAAGCCAGCTTGAAAATTCAATTATCACAATTCTATCATAACATTAGATTTACAAAATACTTTAAAAGTTTCACCTGAAGTTTATCATCCAGTTAACCAAATACACAATCGGTCGAAAAAATAGATCAAACGAATATAAAGATCAAACAAGTCTCTTCAACATAATGATCAATTTTGTCTTATCTGCCCACAAAGCTGTATGCCATCATGGCTCATGCAATAAGAAATTTTATACAACTAACAGAACAACATTTATATATTGCACCTTTATATTCTTAGAGACTGCTAACATAGCAGCAAGATAAAGATTTAAACTTTAAAGTCAATTTAAAAATAAGTGGTCAAAATCTTGTCGACGATTCCGCACATGCATCAAGTCCAAATATTTTACAACCACAACAAAAAGTTTCAAATTAAGATTCAAAATACACATATTCATTCTGATTGTCAAACCTTGAAAAGGTACTGAATTAATATTTGGTATAATCAAAGTATACATTTAAACATCATAGAGTTGTATTTAAACTGATTGTCACAATAGTACAAAATAATGTTGATTGTCTGAATAACATTTATCATGTCTGATTTAGATTCAAATGGCCTTATCTAAAAAGTTTCACAACACATCAAGTCCAGAAAAAGAACAAAAATTCTCATAGTATATCCCTATCAAGCGATATGTGCATTATTCAATTTAGCCACATCGAATGTTATCCCCCAAGCACATCCAAGATGCTGATAAATTAAATGAAAATTCCAGAAAAATATTCCATCTATTTGAAACTTACATAGCTCTTCTTTAAATCCGAAGAAATTAACAAACAAACATGTTCACGTTTCAAAAGATTACATAACTAATGGTTATATATCTTATTTGTTGTCAAGGTAGTGAAAATAAAATCTGTGTGCGTTACGAATATCTACATTTAATACAGCATTCAACCTTCAAACTTACTACGGATCTAATATTTAAATATTAATATGCAAAAGGGAACAAATGATCAAGTCATGTTGGCAAAATTGGCACAAGAAGAAAATGATTGTCAAATATGGTTTTAAAAATGAAAGGTACTTTTAAAAAAAATACCCGTTGAACTGTCGAGATCTCTGGAGGTTTCGGTGAGATAAAAATAAATGTGAAATATTTAGCCGAATATAATTTTTTTAAAATGCATATCTGGCTGACATTTTCTATCAAAATCTTATCAGAAAGTTTACGTATCTAAACGGTTTAAAATTACATGAATACTTTACAATGCCTCGCCCGTCTCGAGTCGTATCGATGTTGTGTTCAAATATCTCACTATAATATTATACACCGAAAATAATTATGAAAGCATAATTATGCAAACGATGTGGAGATCATTCAAACTGTGAGAAGTAAACAAATTATATCACATAACGGCTATATAAAAGAAAACTTCGCAAATATACTGCTCAGACAGTGATTCTCGAATAAATGTCGGCAGTATTCCCTCCCACCTAGTCGATTTCTATTAGACTCAGAATTTGTCTTATTTTCGTTTAAAGATGGAACCCAAACCCGAGAATCACTCAAAAATACCGTCTTCATCGTGTGTTATCACTTGCAAACTTAACAGTATATATGAGACGAACTGTAATATTTCAACCTTAAAAATAATACTTTTTTTCTCAGTAAATTTGTGACCATATTTTTGTCATCGATTTAATTATTTGAAAGAAACAATACAAATTAATGAAAAAGCAATGAGCATTAATTTAAGCGAAAGTATACATGGTGGATGTAATAAAGAAAACATCATTAATAATAACTGTTGAGAATTGTCTTTCATACTCCTCTTCTCAAATATTAGAGTATTAGAGTATTATGAGAGTTCATGGAGTTTAAGAGGAAAGTATAAATATGATATACGTTGTAACTTTGGTGTGCATATTCTATTATTCTTGCATCATTAGTTTCTATATTCACACCATGAACAATTCCTTCAGAACTGCATGGCGATTGGACACATGCCATACGGTTGTTGCAGCTATACCATAGTAACCTCATTGATTAGTGATGGGGTTCAATTAAAGAATGACTGAAATAGAATTAGATGATATTTGCTTTAAATACAATTTCATGGCCCATGCATGTTACAGGTAAATTACAATTATTATTTAAGAGAACTGTGAAGATGGCAGCAATTACATACTTTTGAAAACATTATAATAGTTTGTATCACTGATATATTTCATGCATGAATACAATATGAAAGCAAGTTTTCTTTCCAAATTGCATGAATGGTTTGCTAGAGTCACTATGTCAATATTGCAAGTCCTGAATAAGTTTGTAGGGGTTATTTACTTGCCGTGAATAGGCGGAGCTTGAGGCATAGCCGAGACGGGTAGCATCCCGGGAGGGAACACAGGTAGTCGATGAGCTAGCCCAGCAGAGTAGAGGTCAGCATACGATGAACCAGGTTGAAAAGGTTGTGAGTAAGATAGATGAGGATAGCAGCAACCAGAGGTTGGACTTTCACCCGATGTGCTCACCTGAAGTTGCGGGAGCCCGGAGCAAACGAAGCCTGCAGCTGCGGCAGCTGCTGCCACGGCCATGGCTGAGTTAGGCGAAGCTAACCGTGCAGTTGGAGATACGCTGTAAGGTGAATCATGTTGACTGAGAAGCCGCTCCACCGAGAAACCATGACCGGGAATGGGTTTGGGTAGCGGGTGGTTGGCCGGGAACAGAGAGGCGGAGTCGCATGGCCCCGTTGCACCTGTCGCTGCGAGTCGCTCTGCGGAGAGTCGCTCGGCCGTGATGGCTGCTGCTGCCGCAGCGGCGGCGGCTGAGCCAGACATGTCGTACCTGAGTGCGGGATGGTTGTGGTGAGCCGGGTGTGGGTAAGGTAGAAGGGGTCCCGATGGCCAATACATGTGATATGGTTTATCAGTCCTTAGTTGAAATGGGAAACCACCATGCATGTAAGGAACGCCTCGTTTTAGCTGAGCTAGGCGATGATTACGAGAAGCTGCTGTCGTTCTCCTCCTCAGCTTCCCCGTGGTACCCCCAATGAAGACATCATCACTTGATGGATCCAGCATCCAGTAATTTCCCTTGCCTGGATCGTCATAATGTCGAGGGACTTTCACAAAACATTTGTTCAAACTCAGATTATGACGGATAGAGTTCTGCCATCCCTGCTTATTCTCACGATAATATGGAAAATTTGTCATGATGTATTCATAGATACCATTTAGAGTTAGTCTTTTCTCTGGACTCGAGCGAATAGCCATCATGATAAGAGCATTGTAACTGAATGGAGGTTTCTCACCGTATTTGTTTCTTGGCACACTGTTCGTAGTCGAGTTGCCGTCCTTGTCATCTTTCTTCTCCTCATCATTTCCCTCTTCCTTCTCCTTCTCCTTCTCACCATCATTCTCATCTTTCTTATCACTGTCCGTCTCAACGTCGCTCATTTTCTGCTCCTCATCATTCTTGTGGTCATGTTCCACATCAATGTCCTGTTCATTCACCATTTCATCTTCCTCGTCATCCTTGGAGGCGACCTCGCGATGATGTCTCATAAAACTCTCGGATTCAGTGATGGAAGTCTGATTGGAGGGAGGCGACTCCATTCTAATAATGGGCTCATGTATCTTGGTCATGACAGGATGATGGAGATGGGGAGGAGTGTGTCGATGTTGAAGAAGATGATGATGAGGGTGGTGATGGTCGCGCCTGATGGTGCCCCCTTCCTTGGGTGACAACATGCTCTCCACTGAAAACAACCCCTTGCTCCTATGAAGCGGCGGTGGAGCCGGAGTGGAGTGAGGAGGGGGCAAGCTGGCATTCATCTCCTTCTCCATATATTCCAGCTTCACCATTTTCCGATGAATGTGCATGAAATTTAAAGTACTTCTTGCTAAATACCAAGGCGGAGATCTCCCTGGCAATTTGTAGCCAATGAAATGTCGGCAATATCGCCGGTAGAATAAGACGAGTAAAGCGCAATAATGTTCAAAAGAAATAACAATCTTCGAGAGAAGATGTAGCAAATATTCTTCACAGAGAGATTTGAGTTGACCGACTTCCTACGTCGAACGCTGTCTTTACGATTTGTGTGATTTAACAAGGACACGGGTTTGTGTATATGACTGTCTGCACCGTGTGTGCGTCGTCTCGTACTGCCCGTCCAAGCGAAGAAAAGGGAAAGAGAAAAGTCACTTGTCAATTACGTCGCCGGTGTGTTAGCTGCAGGCGTCCAATCAGAGAGTGCGATAGAGAAGCGACGAACCGTCAGCAAGAGTGGTTAATCTCTCTATTACATTTGACCAATCAAGAGCGCTTTTAGACTTTACACACCTGCATGCTCTTGCTAGTGGCGGCTTCTATTTGCTTATACATGCAAGGAGCTTTGGTGTTTGATAAAGCTACCGTCTAATGCAGATACCACATACTCAAACAACCACAAATACCAAATCATAAAGTTTTTAAACAATATCTGTCGCCTCTAATATTTACTATTCCTATTTTATTTAATCATGCAAGGGCGTGGGAAGTTAATAAATTGCAATAGTCATATAACAGGTACCACAAAAAAGGTTTAATACTGTTGTGTCAACAAGACTTTTTGAAATGATTCCTGTCTCCCTTCATATTTAACCACGCATTAGCGTGAGAAAATCTAGTAAATATTTTGGACTACTAAAACAGATTTTGATAGTATTATGTCAACAAGAAAGCGGTTTTGAAAACTCTGTCTTTTTGTTTTGTTTAAGCCCACACTTTAACCCCAGCCATGTTTACTCCACAAGTCGACCAGTATATGGGATGTATAATTATAATTCTCCGCCTTAAATTGGAAATATAATTCCCATGTTTTTTTCAGACAGAACATTCTTTGCTCGATGATAGTAACAGAAAATTATGCGTGAAGTTGTAATCGAAGTATACTACGATAAATTTACAGATTTTTTCTCTTATGATACTAGCATTCACCGCTGCACTTCCAGAATTCTTTTTGCATACATCAGAATAAACTGTCATGCTCTTAGGGTTATCAAGATATCTTGTCTCCTTCCTCTATATACGTTAAATTATATCTTACAAACATCTACTACAAGACATGAATGTGTTTTTATTCTTAATCTGAAATTTGCTATTCGATGAAAGAAGGGAAACTCCGTACACGATCAAGATGCGAATCGTTGTTTTTAATGTTATCAAGTCTAAAGGGATCTTTAAAGCACATCTACCAAGGGCAATGACAAGTTTACAATGCACCTATCACACGCACGCGGGTGGTGACTTTCTTATGTTTAGCTCCTAACCAATGTATTTATCTTGAACCTTTGAGAAAACAAATGTTGAGTATCTTAGGAAGGAAACGCCTAGGTATAGGATCAACGTGGTGCTTGACAAATCACCTAATTCCTACCTCCCCCTTAGCAAATGACTTGGGCTTAGAACAACATCATAAGTGTATCTCTTTCCCGCTTTTCCCCTACAAGAGCAATGAACTCTTTCCTTGCCATTCTTGGCCACGTAATCGCTGTAGAGTAAGCAAGGTTACTCATGATGTTTTTTTTTTAAATAAAAAATGGTTTTGCATAGTTGTATTATCAAAGGAATATAACAGGATGAGGTAATGTAATTGTAATTATCCCCCTATGGATTCCTTAACATCTAATTTTCGTCTTTAGCTATTGAAACGCAGAAGAAGTAGGTTACATTTTCTCTTCGTCAGATTTACATGTATTGAACATTATGTTAAATAGTTAAAGAAATTCACAACACCTCATTACTTTTCCAGTGATTTAAGCCAGAAAAATTACATACACAGGACACAATAATCCCTGATTTTTTAAAGTTGCTAAGAAGCATTATGTTGTACCGCAATGTCCGCAAAATTCATCAGCATCAAGGAATTTAAATCAATGTTTAAATACACTACCTGAAACAATTCTCTTATTACTTTGGTAAAATTGCCTCAACAGCAGTGCTGGTTTATATTTAAATCCCATAATATCGCGATTGTTCTCTAGCTGTCTGTTGTCACTGATTGTGATTGATGATGCAATGATAATGTGCTCTATACCATACTTAGACTATTAAGACAAATTAATTATAATTTCCTTATACAAAAGTATATATAGAGCTCCAAGTATTGTACATGTATATTGTTGATACAAAACAATTAGGCTTTATCATGATATTGAGCCTTATCGTGTCTTGACAAAATTACCATGATGGCAGGCAGGGGCGGCGATTTCTTTTCATGACCGGGGGGACGAAATGCGAGGGACGGGGGAGCAGTGGCGTATATTGAACAAAAACGTTGTGGGGGGGGGGGAGAAAAAAATCCGCATCCCCACTCTAACATTGTATATGCAGGCCTCGCGGAACGTTTTTCATAGAGGGGGAGGCTAAAGTATTTTATTAGGTAGAGCAAAGCGAGCATAGCAAGTGGAGCGTAAATTGGCGTGTGGTCAAGGGGCGTAGGCCCATGAAGCTCAGGGGTTTTAGGCATTTAATAACGGTCAGATGAGCATCCAGGGGCTCGTCTTAGAGCCCCTGGTGGGGTCCAGGGGGCAGAACCCCCCGGAAGCTCAGGGTTTTACGCATTCAATCACGGTCAGATGAGCAAACAGGGGCCAGCCATAGGGCCCTTGGTGGGGTCCAGGGGGCAGAGCACCCAGAAGCTCAAGGAAAAACCATGCCATTTCAGCAACATTTGTAAATCACTGGTATCGAGTTAGAAATAAATCAAGTTTGAATTTTATTAAGGTGGCAACTGCTCCCAAGACCCCCCCCCCCCTTCATCATTACGCCAAGGCGAGGGAGCAAAGTGAACGAGAGGGGTAGAGATTACGGAAGGGACTATCCCCTCACAGATTTTTGAAGTTTTGTTGTATTAACAAATTACATACTTTAATTAGCAAAAGAATAATATAAAAACAAGCAATATACCGTTTTCACACTTCACTTTTCTGGAATATTTACTGTACACTTCGAAGAATATTATGGGAGGAAACGTAGCTCCGGAGCGAGAAGATTTTTCCTTTTTTTTTGTTGTCTAAACGCTGCACTCTAGGGCCCTCCAGAGCCTAAAAGTTTGTTGCAGTCTTTAGTCAGTATTTGCTATACACTTTTTTTTTCTCACTTTTTCAATTTTTCAGGGGGTGACGATCCCCCCTAAAAAAATTAAGGGGGGACGTGTCCCCCCCCCAGTCCCCCCGGGATCGCCGCCCCTGATGGCAGGCCCTATACATTATACTGCAGAGAGGCCATTATCCAATAACTCTAGTTGAACTGTGACGCCATGTCTACATACAATGCCATTATATCATTGTTACCAAGCCTGTTATTAAGTTAGAGTCCTATACAAATAACATCAACATCATCTTTTAACCTTAGAAGATATTGACAAACAAATTATAAGGAAATAGGCTGCGGCATACAAACAATAAAGACCTTGTTAAGAAGACAATGATCTCTGTTAGTTAAGACATGGTGAAGATTGAGATGAAAATTAATGACATTATAATTACTATCTATTTATATCAATGAGAGCAGAAGGTTTAATACACACCCGTTCACTGACCTTTGGCAGCGTTCTGCTGTTTAGAGAGCAATAAAGGATATTTCTATACCAAAAGGAAAGTTAGATATTCTTTACTATATAAGGTTCAATATAGTGGATTAGAATCACGTAATTTAATACTAAAATTCGATATGTAACTGAATTAAAAATGATAAATTTCAACTAATATTTCAATCTCCGAATCGATTTCATATTTTATAACATGTAGGACAACACGATTGATTTTTTTAAAAATGTATGTCGAAGTAAAGTGTTCAAACGTTAGACAGCAATACATGAAAGGATTTAATCTATACTGAAATTGGGTGTTGGTTACATATTGTGATTCATTATTTTGTTAAAGATCAGTTTATAAAATAAATTTCAGATCTCTTTTTTCCAGTTACAAAAGGCTGATCGAATGTTATCCGTTCTTAATGTGTACATTACTGTCTCTAGGGTTACAATATTCATTGATCCATGTTAAGCCATATTGACAAAAGTAATACTGTTTGTACATCACACGATTAATGTTTGTACTGGTATTTATATTACAACCAACATGCCTAATAACTATGACCCACGCCTCTGCATATTTCAGTTGTACATAATTAGAAAGTACTTATTCGTGGTGCACAAAAAGATGCTCTGTATTTTACAACAAATTGATTCACTAATCTCCATTCCTTTTCTAAAGTTTGCTCAATCTCTACAACCCACTCAGCGCTTCGTGAATCCCAAAGGTTATCCATAGAATGATTACATCAGAAAGAATTTTCTCTTTTATGGGATGTTTCACCAGTAAGAGTAATTACTGGACAAATTCTTACAATAGAGGGTACACACTGATTAGGGGTTGCAGCCGGTAACTCCGCAACGGATGGGGGCAACAAGGCAATTTGGAATCGGTGGATAGAGGGGCGGGGTATGAATGAAACGACCTATATATTCAGTACTTCACTTTTAATAATGAATTTGATATTATAAAGAGTGATTATGAATCATTTTCAATTATACTAATAATATTCTCTAATTATCATGCACTATTTCGGGAAAGCAGCATGCATATACACTTATTATGCACTATAGAAATTGAGATAGAATCTGATGTGCACATGGTATAATTATTCATTGTATTTACTTTATCTCTTGAATTCGTTTCATTCTACTTCACTCATTTTACAAGCTGAAGTCCACTCATACTAGGTTTTGTCACCTCTACTCATACTCAATAGCTACTATCAAAAATATTTATTGTGCACTTTGTGCAATAATGTCATTAATGCAGATATTTAATTCCTTTACATTGTATTGATAATGTGCGGGTAATTAAGCAAACTAAAATGTTCTACAAATTAAATTGTTTAAAGTGACGTTTAACAAAAATTTTACTTTAACAGCAGCATCAACAATAGACATTTAGAAACCGATATGAAATTAAAGGAAACGTTTGAAAGAGCAGGTGGGCAGTGTAGAAGATTTAGATATATATTGAATGTTTGAGTTCCTATA